CTTTTCTTTTTCTCCCCTTCTCCATTTTTGAGACAAGGTATCTCTATAGCACTACCTGTCTAGCCTGGAATTCTGAGTAGACCAGGCTGACCTCAAACTCACAGAGACCCACCTGTTTCTCCCTCCTACATGATGGGAATAAAGGAGTGTATCATCACTTGAACTCACTTTCTAAACCATTGCCTCTGCCTCCAGAGAAATGCCCTGCTGGTTTTGATATCTCTTCAGTTTACCTTAATATAGAAGAGTCACTGCCTTTTGCTTCTGTAGTTTCTCTTGACCTTGGCCAATTTCACAAGCCTAAGATGATTTTCTTGTGCAGCATCCCATGTCTGTTTCCTTGTGGCCAGGTTCATGTTTGAACATTATCAACACAGGTTGATATCATCAGGAGATAAGCAATGCCTGTTGTTTATCATTGGCAATGGCTTCTACCATTTGGGGAAGGTGATGACAGCTAGACGTCTCCATTGGAAAGGCACCCTTTCCTTTTGTGACTAGTAACCACAAAAGGGTACCATGGGAAACTATTTCCCAGCAACCTTTTACCAGATTGGATCTTTTTCAGATCTGATTTGGGATATATCCCCTCCACCCCAGTTTGCTTTTCTGTTGCTGTGATAAAACACCAGGACCAAAAGCAACTGGGGGAGGAAAGTTTGTTTGGCTTAGTTGGCCTGATCAGAGACTGTCCTTGAGGGAATTCAGGGCAGGAATTCAAGCAGAGGCAGGAACTTGGAGGCAGGAACTCAAGAGACCATGGAGGAACACTGCTTGCTAGTTTATCCTCCTTGGCTTGCTCAGCTTGCTTTTTTATGCATCCCAGGACCATCTTCACTGGCATGGTACCACCACCAGTAGACTGGACGCTCCTACATCAATCATTAACCAGGGAAATGCCCCCCACAGATGTGCCTACAGGCCCGTGTGATGAAGACATTTTCTCAGTTGAGGTTCCCTTTTCATGGATGACTCTAGCTTGTGTAAAGTTGAGGTAAAATTAGCAGCACAGTAGAGCCACAGAAAGGGAACCTCTCCATGAGGGTGACCCTGAGGCCTCTAGACAAAGACTGCTGTGATTTGCCCAGGGGGACACTGCTATCATTCACTGTGTGTGGGCCTTCAGCACTTACAGCATTTATAGGAAAGGTCGTCCATTTCCCAAATTGCCAGGTTGTCTCTCCTGTAAATTTTTAAAATAATCTCTCTCACTTTGACATCTTGAAGAGCAGACAGAACCAAAGTGTGCGCTGCATTGTTTTCTGATCTTTTGCCCTCCTACTCACGGAGGAAGAGACAAGAGATACAGCCTCAGCACCACGCAGCAGCATTGTGCATGGACCATGCATGAGGGCTGGGGCCTCCACCCAGGGCGGCCAGGGGCCAGGAGAGATAGGATAATACAATTATTCTCAATTAGATTAATAAAGAATAATTAGGTGTCATAAATCAAGTAATCATAGGATATTGTCATAGGAAAAATATGTAGGTAGAATTAATTAGTTTTCAAATAAAGCATTTTATTTTAATTGCCTGAAATGATGGAGCCCTTAATTGTTGATGCATCATTTTGGCCTGAGCTTTTCGAATGTTGTAACAGCGTGACGTGACGGGTTTGTTCCCTGCATTTCTGGGGAGACAATAGAGGAGACCTTGATTTCATCACCTCACAATGAGTCTTTTGCTGTGAGGTTCTGGAAACTCCCACCATGCCGCAGGCAGGTGGCAAGTGTGGGCCGAGCTTCAGCTGGCGCTGCCCAGGGTCATGTGTGTGAGAACTCTTATACATGTATGTGCATGAGTGTGCGTACGAGCACAAGTATACACGTGTGTTTTGCTGTGTACCTGAGAGTCTGTATGCCCTTGTGTGTGGAATGCATCTGAAGGGGGTGCATCTGTGTGTGTGGGGTGTTTATGTATGCATGTATAAGTTGTGAGCATCAGTGTGTCTGTGTGTACGCACATGGCTACAGTATGTGTGGTATCTGTATTGCAGATACTTCATTGCTTGGGCCTGTGTGGCAGGATGCCCCTATCTTGGCTTTAGAGCTTTCCTGCTGGGTTAACATGCTGTAAGAGATTAAGTTCTTGGCAGTGGTGGAGCTAGGGCCTGTGGACTTGTGTCTGGCAAGAACAAAGCTGGGCTTTGGAGGGTCCTCAGTACCCTCTGAACCTGTCCTTTGGGCCACCTGCTTGAGGCAGTTCTTCTAGCATTTTTTATTTTTTTGGAGGCATGTGTCTGTGAACAGTGTCTGCAGAAGTCACACCTCACATTTGCACTATTAGCTTTTAGCAAATGATGAATTTTGTATAGCTAAAAAGCTTTTTCCCTTACCCCACCCCCCCAAAAAAAAACAATCCAGAAAAGAGGGAATTTGGCAGTTTGTACATGCATTCCTGGTAACCTCATTTTCTTTGAAAGCCCTTGAGGGAGTCAGAGTCCAAGGGTAGAGTTTGCCCAGCAAGGGCTTGACCTGGTGGGGCCTGTATCAAGTTGGTAGAACCAGATATGTGTCTGATCTCATGCCACTGGCTTGAGTACAGACCTCACTGGCCTTGCCTGACACAGCCCTGATCCTATCCCCATCCTCCTAGTCTACCCTCCATAGGGCCTGGTGGTCTCTTGGGAGCCTGGCTCTGGCTGCTGGGTACCTTTTCCTGTGGTATGGCTCAGAGCCCATTCCTGCATTTCTTGTAACAGAGGAAAAGATGAAGGCATAGGATGGTGTGGCAGTATGGCACTGGGGCATGCTGGTAGAAGGTATACTTGATGGGGTTGCCCTGAGGCTGCCTATTAGAGAAGCCTTTGCCTCTCTGGCCTCTTCACTGCTCAGAGCTGCGTGTGGCCTCAGCCTGTAGTCCCTCTCCCCACAATCTGCACCAGCCTTAAAGCCACTCTGGAAGAGTCCGCCCAGCTCTTGTGATCCATTCTTTTCCTTGCCATGTTCTTTTGATGGCAGAGCTGCCTTTTCCTGCTGTGCAGTGCTGCCTGTAACTAGAATAGGATGCGACCTTGCCCAGTGGAAAGACTCCTGAAAAAACCTGTGCAGTCCCCTGCTGTCTGCCTCTGACCTTTTCTCCTGTACCTTCACCCCAGCTTGTGGCTTTGGGGCCACCCCTGCCTGTGAAGAGCAGCCACCTGAGGGACTGGGGTGACATGAGGAGGTAGACTGCAGTCAATGTGTGATCTAGGGCACTGGAAATTTCTCCTTTGCAAGGTAGACCCTAGCAGGTCTTAAATACAAGTCCTGTGCTTTGAGGAGTGGTCTGTCAGCCAGGAAAGCAGTTCGGTGGGTGTGGCCAGATGACTTGGTCCTGCCTCTTCCCATGTACCCTCCCTGGCTGTTCTGCCCCTTGGTGGCCTATGCCTTGAGAGCATTTCCAGACCATTCCCAGAAATCTGGGGCAGCTTCCCCAATCATTTCCTGCCTCCGTTTCTCAGAAGTGAAGAGTGTGCTGTTCACAAAGTGGTCATGATTAGAAGTTTTAGCCTGGTAATGGTGGTGCACGCCTTTAATCCTAACACTCAGGGAGTCAGAGGCGGGTGGATCTATGAGTTCAAGGCCAGTCTGGTCTATAGAGTTTCAGGGCAGCCAGGGCGACACAGAGAAACTCTGTTTCAAAAACAAACAAAAATAATTAGAAGTTTTGGTGGTTCAGGCCAGGATCCAGTAGGGTGGTTTGTAGCACTCTCAGGACCCTACACAGCTCCCATTTGTAAGCACATGTCTGCTGAGCAGGTGCTGGCACTGGGCACAGGGCAGGGGCAGCACAGCCCAGACTCCCCAAGCTGGCAATGGGGCAGGAATGGTATTCGTCATCCAGGCATACCATTACTCTACTTTAGGGAGGAAAGCGAAGGGGCCCCAGAGTGGAAGGCTCCCAGGGGAGGCGCAGGAAGGAAGCCTGCTGGATGTCAGGATGAGTGCTGTATGTATGTATGCAGGGTCATTGTGGGAGGAGGCAGTTTTGAATACCTGACTCATGGACTACCATAGGGACAGGGATGTGGGCTCTTGTGAGAAAAAGAGATTAGGCCTAATTCTGAAAAGTGAAACAAGTCTGCGTTTATAGCAGGTGGCAGGTAGAAGTGTAACAAGTCTTTCTCTGTCCTGCCAGCTCCCAAATAATGACATGGAGATTTCTTATTAATTATGAAATCTCAGGCTATAGCTTAGGCTTGTTCCTAACTAGCTCTTATAACTTAAATTAACTTATTTATATTAACGTACATTCTGCCACGTGGCTTGTGGCTATTACCTCTTCTCCTGCACATCCTACTTCCTCTGCATCTCCTGGAGTCTCTGCCTTTCTCTTCCCTGTCCTGCCTAGCTATTGGCCACTCAGCTCTTTATTATACCAATCACAGCAACACATCTTCACACAGGGTACAAATATTCTGCAACATGGGGGGGGTGTGCATGGAAAATAGGTAACAGGACATATCAGGTGTCTGGGGATTCGGGCTGAAGGTACACCAGGGTAAGCAGATGTCACTTGATGGGTAGTAAAGGCTGAGGGACCTGATCATTTGGTTATGGGGTGATATTAAACTGACATAGAATTTTTGCTAAAAGTGTTCACATAGGCCTACAAGAAAATTGAGGAACCTGAATCAAGTTTGGCCAAGCAAAGGCTCCTTTTCTGTGGTGCCAGAAATAGAACCCAGGGCCTTGGGCTTGGTAGGCAACTTCTCTACTGTAGAGGTGGCAAGACCTCTATACAGGGTTCCTATGTTGTGCTTGCCAAGGAGGGAATACCAGAGCTGATAGATAAGATGGGGATACAGGGATGGGGAGGGCTGGAGGTGCCCAACAGGCACAGTGGCAGGCTGGCAGTTGGGGTAAGTTGGGCCCACGCCAAGATCTGGCTGTTGTACAGCCACAGAGCCTGTCTGCATGATGGAGAGCAACATCCTTTTCCCAGAGGGGGCAGAAGTTGGGTACTGAGCCAATAGCTTTCTAGATGCCTCCTCCCAGCTGCCTTCTGAAGAGATGCAGAGCTCTCTGTCACTCACATGTCCTCCCTTGCACTCCAGGACTGCATCTACCACATGGCAGCTCCGTTCCCACCACCGCCTGGTCCCAGATTTGTCCTCCGAGGCACACAGTCACCTGTGAACACGCTGCATTTCTGCCCAGCATCCCAAGCTCTGGGGAACCCCCTCCTTTTCTCAGGGTGAGTAACAGTTGCCCCACCCCAAAGCCTGGGGTGATGTCCAGCACTGGGTTTCACAGAGCGTGGTGCTTACCTAACCTGTGGCAGAAGGCACTATGCTTGCCACACTTTCAGAAACCCTGTATATTCTGGAACTCCTTAGAGGAGCATCAAGCCATGCTGCTGTGTCACACACCACTGAGCTCTGAGAAAGTACCGCAGCCCCCTGGTTACCTTTGATAACCTTCAGTTCAGAGTCATCTCCTCCAGCTGAAGTATCTAGCACCTTCCACTGGCTGTGTGTGCTGCTGGCCTGTAGCAAGTTCAAGATGCCTATTGACTGCAGCCCTGTCCCTGCCTGTGCCTGACTCTACAGCTCTCAGAGTGGCCTGGTGCACATCTGGAGCCTGCAGACCAGAAGAACAGTTGCTGCCCTAAATGGCCACAAGGGCCAGGGTGTAACCTGGCTGAAGACACTGCCCCAAGGGCACCAACTCCTCAGGTACGTCACAGCAGCACAAGGGAGCACAGGTCCCAGAGGACCCATGCTGGGAAGGAACTCTTTGATGGGCCCCTGAGACTACCTTTAGCCAGAGCAGAATAGCAAAATGTCAGATGGGATCACCTTCTTCCCTGGGGCTCTTCTTTTTCTTTTTTTAATCTTGATTTTATTTGCATTGGTGCTTTGACTATGGGTGACGGATCACCTGGAACTGGAATTACAGACAGTTGTGAGCTGCCGTGTAGGTGCTGGGAATTGAACCTGGGTCCTCTGGAAAAGCAGTCAGTGCTCTTAACCACTGAGCCATCTCTCCCGCCCCCCTGGGGCTCTTCTGAGACAGGTCTGGGAGATGCCATCTGAGGGAACTGATACTAGCCCAGAAAGCAGCTGAAAAAACAGCTCTGGTTTGTGGCTTAGAAGTGAGCAGAGGTAACTGCACCATGTGCTAAAGGGACAGGGCTGAATAAAGCAGGGTCCAGGCTCAAAAGAGCTGAAAGCTCAGTCCTCAGGTGTTCCTTCTCACTCAAGGCACAGACGCTTGGGTGGCCTTGGTCACAGGGCTAGGACCAAGCCAACTGGCTTGAAAGGCATGAAGGGTAGCCTGGGGCTGGCACTTAAATAAACACCCTATCTCCCTGCCAGGGTGGTGATGCTGCAGCCATTCCTACAGTCCCCACTGGGGGTCACGAGGCCTGTGGTGTGGGCTGCAGGTGTGGAATGCCCAGGTGCATTTGCCTTGTACTGGAGACCACAGCCCACCAAGGCTGCCTACCCTCAGCTGTGTTTGGGCCCAGGTTTCTTCAAAAGGCCCTGGAAGGAGTTGTGTGCTTTCTTATCTCTGAGGGCTAGAGGATCCCCAGCCCTGGTTGCACCTGGGCCACAAGAGCTGCACTAGCTAGCATTTCTTTACCTTTGTCATTAGGAAACCACTTATTTACTGGCTATTGCAGGAAGGAGTACATAGACTCTTGTAGCACCTGAGTAACCACCGCCCAGTCAAGGACAGCGCTGCAGCACCGCCCACTCTGCAGTCTGCAGCAGCCCAGTACTGCTAAACTGTCTTAAGGCTGTATGTCCTGAAAACGAGCAGAATGTTTTTATGAGTTTTTCCTAACTTCTTAAGTTAGGAAAACAAAAGACTACCAGGTATTTAATGGATACCTGTGGTCCCAGTGCTGTGAGTTTGGGGCCAGTTTGGAATACACTGGTTTCTGCCCATTTTTCTACTGGACTGACTGCATTTTTCTTATTGATAGATGAAGTCCTTTTTATATTTTATATAGCATCATTATTCTATCACAGATTATCTCTGCACCAGGGTGACATATTTGTACTCTCTAGGGGCATCTTCATGTTAATGGAGTCACATTGGCTAGGCCTTCCCCATATGGCCAGGCTCCTGGGTCTTATGGACATGGACATCCTTAGCCTATCTCCAGAGCTCGCTGCTGCTGCTTTGAGATCCACAGTTCCTCTGGAATGTGCTGCTGATGTGGGATGCAGGCAAAGCCCGCCATCCCATCATCCTTTCTGTTCCTCCCTCCACATTCAGCTCTGTTGACAGATAGGAAGGAGATGCTAGCAGCTGCATGTGGGCTCTGGGATCAGTTCCCTGTCCTCATTTCCTGTGACCTCAGGACTTTTCAAGTACACTGTAGAATGCCCCAGGTTCAGGACAAGACTGAGGCCCTGGGTTTAGGGAGGAAGCCCAGTGTGGTGACTGCCAACCTTGTGATGGAGGCGCCTGAGTCCCTGTGTCTCCTTGGCAGGTACAACTGGCCTTAGTCACACAGGTGGGTGATGTCTTCTGGGTCCACTATCAGCAGCCAAGAAGTTGAATTTCTATAATCTGAAAATCTGAAAGCTTGTTTCTTGTTTTTTGAGACAGGGTCTCACTCTGTAGTTCTGGCTAACCTGGAATGCCTTATGTTGTAGACCAGGCTGGACCTGAATTCACAGACATGCACCACTCCCTTCGTAAAAATCTGAAAGTTTTAGAGTGTTGTGTCAGCTCTCATAAAGTTTCAGATTTCAGAGTTTTTCGTATTTCCTGTCTTCAAAATAGGGAGGTTTAACTGGTGAAGTTTACACAAACATTTCAAACGCTTGTTATAGAAAAGAAGTCCTCATGTTGGGTCTGATGGCCCTTAACAAAACAAATGGAATAAAAGACTACATTGGCAGTGAGCTTTGTAAAAAATGGGGACATGGGACTTTTATCCCAGTACTTGAGAGTCAGAGGCCCAAGGATCTCTGTGAGCTTTAGGATAGCCAGGAACTATATAGAGAGACCCTGTCTACACACACACTCAAACACACACACACACACACACACACACACACACACACACACACACACACACACACACACACACACACACACACACACACACGA